TCTTAAGCCTCTTTAATTTTGTTTTAAGACACAAAAAGTGCTCCAGAAGCAGGCAGATTGATACCTTAAATAAGTAGATAGCACTAATGTCAAAGCTGGTGATCATGGCATCTGTCTCAGGTTACATAGTGTTTGTTGTTTTGTGTAGATGAGCGCAGAAATCACCTTATAAGTTAAAAAAAAATTACAGAATCAATAAAGAGAGGAAACAGATTTTTAAAAAGTCTACTATTAAGCAAATTACTCAACTGGGAATTTGACTTTAAATGTGAACAGACGGATTTCACTTCCCACTCTAATTCATGACTCATTCCCTTTTTTGTATAATGAATCTATTTGAATATTTCTACAGTGCCTGTGTTGTCATCATGGATATTAGTGAACCTTAATGTTTTGTAGGACTTTGTGTCACATGATTATGTGCAGATGTGACAAACACTTCTTAAAATATTAACAGTTACAGACTAATCAGGTTTAGGTGTCCCTAGTGGTAGGATGAGGACATTACAGCACTTTTTTATTTTAAGTTCAAAAAATTGCTCATGCTAATTTTCTTCATCTGAACTGTGTTGGCTGGTCAAAGCTCGGGGTCACTCTCTACCTTCTTTCTTTGCTCTTTGAAGAAACAATATCTCCTTTGAGTTTGTTCTATTTGCTGGTGTCTCTACTTTTTTGGACTTTTTTCTTTATTAAACAAGGAAAAAATTGCATTTGCAAGTGGTTTCTTATTCATAATTGACAATTAAGGAAGAAAAACAGAGATTTAGAGAACAGAGTTTATTGTAAGAATATAGTCATAAGTGAGAAAATGTGGTAAATTTCAAGTACTAATTTTACAAGATTACAAGGATGTAACCATAACATTCATCTTTAATTAATGTGTGTTTTATTTTGAAGGGGAGGTGTTAGATTGTTTAGATTTCAAAATTAAAATACTAAACCTTTTGTATTAAGTTATTAAAAGATTGTGCAGAAAACAGACAATAATTTCTAAACTCTTTACTAAAGATTAACTTCATATGTTGCTTCACTTTCCTCCTTTCAGTGCAGGTGGCTGACTGCTCTTTACATACTCCCCTTCAAAATAAAATACATCATAAACTAGAATTATTACTATTTTTTGTTATATTATGACTTAATCTTGTAACTTTATTATTATCACTTCAAATTTCATATTATTTTCTTTTTTAATGCAGCCTTGAAACGCCAGCGTCCTTGTCAGGCCTGTCAGGTGAGTATGGTTTAAGGCGATGGAACAAATAAACACTTATGCTAGTTTATGGAAGGAAAAAGAGGGAAATATCATGTTGGCTGTAGCCTGGTCTGTTATTCTCTTTCATTCTTTTTACTCTGACATTTAACAAAGCAAATTGAACTTTTATATTTCCACCTCCTGGCTTCTTTCAACAACTCTGCTCAAATCCTGATAGCGCATCATCGTCTGCTGCTTTAGGAGGCTTTGAACAGAAAAAACAGAGCAGACCTTCGCCGGCCAAGAGACTCGCATCATTTAACACAGCGCCAACACACACCCCACCTCTGCAGCCGGAGCACCCTGCACACTCCATCCATACATCAGTCACTCGCTCGCCGTGTGTGTGCGAGAAAGAGAAACAGAGATGAATGACCGTCTAATCACTCAGACAATACAGCTAAGCCCTGTAATGAAAAGGCTTGATAAGAAAAATTAGCATAAGACCTGAGTGCTGGGGAGGGAGACAGTGGACATAAATGAAAAGTCTCCCCTGCTATAAATCTAAACCATAAACACAAATATATAACTCACACACATTACTCAGAGACTTCCTCGTCTTGTGCTGACAAAAAAAATGACCCTAAAGCGTATGTACACGTATCTGCTTCATCCTCACTTTTGCTTTTTGTTAGTTCCCGCAGAGCCGGGCCCTCCACTCATTGCACGGAGCAGTAAGTTTTAATGGTAAATCAACAAAGGGCCGACATGAAAGAAAGGCTAGCTTTCCAGTTTGCAGGGTGAAGAATTATTCATCAGCACTGTAGTGTTGCACTGCAGGCAAAAATCCTGCAGCAGCGCTCCATTTTAATTGCCAGAAAATGACTGTAAATGATACAGAGAGGGAGAGAGGAGGGGGCAAAAAGAGAGGAGACAGAAGCAGAGAGAAAGGAAAAAGAGAGTTGAAATTGAAGGTATAAAGAACAGGGGGGGAAAGGACACCCCCACAACTCCCCTCCGCCAACAGCTGCCCCCCAAATTGAAGGCCATGGTGATAAAAAGCTATGTGGCAATCAGAGAGGTGGAGTGTCCCCCCCTAGCAGCCTAAAAGAGAGATAGTGAGGGGAGAAAAAAGAGAGAGGAGGGCGAGGGGAGCGCCATCAAAAAAGGAGTGGTGGGATTAGGTCTGAGAGAGAGTTTACTACGCTCTTTTTGTGCGCCGAACCTGCAGGATTAGAGATAACAAATGTTAGCCGAGGACGGGCACCTGCTGTGAGCCGTGGAGGAGGAGGAGGAGGAGGAGAAGAGGAGGAGGAGTAGAGAGGAGAGCTAACCCGCTAAAACAGCAGAATGGGCTTTTGAGGGCCCCGTGCAGAATTAGAGTAAAAAGACAGAGGGAGGATAAAGAAGAAGGGAGTGTAGGGGCGAGGAAGTGAAAGGAGCGGGTACAGAGTAAATTTGTAATTGTCAAACAGATGAAGGAGCGGAGATTTTTGAGGAAGAGTAAACATTGAACTTGCTAATCTGTGGACCTCAAAGCCTGAGCTGCTCACAGCGACTGTAACGCTGTTGTTGGTGTGCATTTCTGTTTGCTCAAACCGCACGTTGGCTGTAAATCCAAAGATCAAACTTCCTGTACAGAAAAAAAATAAGAATTACACAGCAGCACGAATTTTCTAACTCTCCCTAAGAGACTCTCAGCTTTTATCTGTCTCTGTACCAAGTCTGAAGTATCACTGCTCCAGCCTCTCCCTCTATCACTTTCCACCCTTTGGTGTCTTGAAATTGCCGCTGGGGCCTGGGGACCTCCCCGCCCTGCGCTCTGCGGTGACCCCAGCCTCAGCCAGCACTCAGACTGGTCAATCAACAATTAAAAGCCTGTCTGTAGCCGCTAACTCAATTCAACCACTCAGCTTAGTGCTCTGGTAGAGAGCCGAGGCACCCAGACAGAACCGAGACAGACTCGGCACGAAGACTGACCCTACACAGACAAACACACACTCACACACGCACGGGTCTGAGATGGTGCGGTCACTCCTACACTCCCTGATCCAGATTCAAACCTCTAGAGGAGCGACTCCAACCAGAAGCGGGCGATACACCTCGAGGCCGAGCCTGGACAACAACAAGGTCCCGACCCCTCGCTCACAAATGTCTTGGTACCTGCTCCTCAACCTCGGGGTTTAACCCTGTTTAGCGTTCAATACGGAGGCTGACCTTTTCTCAACTTGGACTTTAAGGCATTTACTGTAGTGGCCTGTGCATTAAGAGTGTGTGTGTCTTTATGTGAGAGAGTGTGTGTATAAGTGTGTGTGTGGCCTTGTATTTCATCTTTTCATACATTCACAGGCGAAAACACACTTGATTTAACAAGCACTTAAAAAGAGGGAAAATAAATAAAAAGAACAGGGACAAAAAAAAAAAAAAAGACACACACACAGACACACACAGACACTCACGGGTGCTTGCTTTCACTCTCACTGACACACACACACAGACAGACACTCTTCTCAACACACACACTCACACGCTTCATTCACCCCATATGTTTCCATTTTTTTATGTTTCATCACTCACTCACTGGGAAAAAAAAAAAAAGCAAGATAGACTTGGAAATGTAATATAAAAACAAAAGCCGGAGAATAACTGCAGGGGCTGGTAAACGAAGCATAAAGACCCCGAGTGACCGAGGGGAATTATTTGGCTCCATTAAGCAGGCATTAACATGAATTACTATCTAATTAAAATTAAACAGCTCATTAATAACTTTGCGGTGGGGCCTTTAGTGTGGAAGTTCTCTGGAGTGTGTGTGTCTAGAGTGTGTGTGTGTGAGAGAAAAAGAGAGGAGCTGTGTTGTGTCGTGGCCAAGAGAGCAATCAAGTGGGATAAAACTAAAGCAGCTGCCCCTGAGGAAAGTTGGGCCTGAGAGGGGCTCACCTGTGGAGCACAAAACCCACACTGATTAGCCAGATGCTAAGGTGATGCTCCTCAATAAATTAACTTAAACTTGAAAAAAAAAAAGGTAAACTGTGTTAAACTCACAGAAATGAAGATTTTAAGGTTAAGACTCTAATCATGAAATACTGTCTTCATCTGAGCTACAGTCAGCTCCTACTCCACTTATCCAGGCCTCCTCTGATCATACAGATGTTCTTTTTACCATTTCTTACAGTTTTGTTTTGTGTTTTCAAGTATTTTTTGGGGCGATTTTTGACTTTATGGGACAATGTGGAAATATGGGGAGATAGAGAGAGGGGAGAGGACACGCAGCACATGGTCAGGGCTGGACTCAAACCCGCAACTGTCGCTGGGACCATGGTCCCCATACACTGGGTTCGCTTACCCGCTTGGACATCTGTGTGCCTCTAGCACTACAGTTTTTAATGTATTTGTCAACTTATTTGAAAGCTAATGGCTCTATATGAAACTTTTGTGTTGTGTTTTAATGAGTCATTCTAATGCACAGGACATTTGTGTATTTTTTACCGAGTGAATATTTGTATTAAAATCTAATTTAAGGTGTTAAACTCTGTAAATTTGAAGGTGGAAGTAAAGCTGTGGTGAACTTATTTCTTTATAAGTAAAATTAATTTGAACAGCAGCCGCCTTAAAATCTGGATTTCTCTCCACTAGTAAAAATCACCGAACAACATGTGTTTTTAAAGAATATGTGAAATTTAGCATTTTCTGTATTTCAGTTGATGTCTCATACATGCAAAGTCTGACAATTCATTAAAAAAGTTGCATATTTCTTTTATAGTTTGATCTTAAACATTGATTTCTGCCTTTTCTCTAAGGCTTTGCAGCTTTTTCTTAAGGTGAACAGTAACTAACTGTAGTTGGATTACAGTAAATAACAGTAAAAATCATCTTTAAATAGAAATCTATTTTGATGGACTAACAACTTTTTAAAGGCAGGTGCAGCTCTGTCACATGAAACTCTTTTAAAGGAGTGTTGTGTTTGGAAATGGTGTATAATCATGCTTGTGTAATTGCTCAAACATTGTAGTTTGCATGTTGCCTTCAAACTGTTAGTGAATGTCTCTCTCTCAAACTCACACACATATCCAAAAAGTCATCCTTGTCACACTCAATCTCACAATAAAAGGACTGGAATGGAGCTGAACAGACTCATGAACAACAGATTAAACATAAGTAGCATGTTTGCACTCTTGCACACATTAAATTGTGACTACACGTGTGAGACACGTCGACTCACTCCTGCTGTGGCCTGCTGGGTCACGGCCTCTGTGTTTCCAAAGCCGCTCAGACTCTCAGGATCTGTCAGGAGGAGAGGAGAGACAGAGAAAGAGAGAGAGGGTCAGAACAAGTCTGAGATGGTCATGTTTCTGGTGTTGTCAAGTTCTTCACAAGAGGCGACAGAAAAAGAGAGAGGAAGAAATGTTTTTGGAGATGATTTTATGCAGAAAAAATCCCCACCTGTAGCCAACAACCTGCGCTGATTTCATCGCTCTTAAAAATGCAGCATCAGCGCAGAGAAACTAAAAACTTCTGAGGCTTAAATCAGGTTTGCAAACACCCTCACTCTCTCTGTGTGTGTTTTGATAATGGAACCTGAAGATTGTCAGAGAGCAAAAGCCCAACGACAGAGAAAGGTGAGGGAATAATGACAGATAGTCCTCAGAGATGGTGAGCGAATAACAGAGAGAGAGGGATATGGAGTTAGGCCTCAAATGTATGCCAGTGCATGCATCAAGCAGACCCCCTCCACCACCTCCTCATCCCTTCCTCCTCCTCCCCTCTCCTGGCCAGGAGCTGTTTACCTCTCTATCAGCGGTGCTCTCTTAAAGCAGGGACCCCATCCATATTCACCGGCCTCAAATTCCTCTGCTTATCTCCCCCCAACCCTTGAAAAACCCTCCCCATGTTCCCCTCTGCACATACATACATACATAAACACGTCTTTATGGAGGCAAGAGGCAAACGCGCAGGGGCAAGGAGGGGGTCGGGGATAAGAATCACCTTGAATTCAAAGCAGAGGATTGTGGGTCTTCGGTGGGGCGGACGGACAGGCGGACAGCCACACAGGCTGGCGTGACACACAAACCACAAGACAGGTGGAGGGAGGCTTTAAGGGGATGGGGCAGGCGTGTGCACCAAGGGCCATTGGCGATTCAGGGGATTTGGAAAAGTGAGGTGTGATGCTTATGGAATTGTGTGGTGTTAGATGATGCATCATTAGGTGGTGGAGGTGTTAGATGATATGCATCATTAGGTGGTGGAGGTGTGCACAAGTTGTGTTTCTGCATGTGTGTGTGTGCAGTTTCAGTTACAAATGCTCATCTTCAACCTCATGAAGTAAGTGCGGAAAATGTCCCCCATCAAGAGGATCCTTTTTAACTTCAAGCTTATTCATATGTGAGTTTTGAATGGGATTTTGTTCACGTCTCTGCAGGAACTCCTAACACCTCATGTGACATAGGAAATTCTCTCCTACCACTTCAGAAGTTATTGAGAAATGTAATTGGATTAACTGTTATTCCCAACATGGAGTGGACAGATCACTCATGTTGCTGGCTGCTTTGAAAGTGGGAGCAGGAGTCTGGCTGATAAGAGTTGAGAGTATAAGTGAGGGGGCTCAAAGAGTGCTCGAGCAGAAGCAGGGACACATGGAGTGGAGAAGGGGGGGAACCAGTACCCCCTTTCCCTCCACAAGCTGCGTTGTTTTGGGGATTGAAGTTGGGAACTCTCTCCACTACTAATTGCGCGCTGGTGCCTTTCATGAATATTCATCCTGGCGTGTTCAGACCCCGCCTAATTAGCCGAGAGATAGAGGAAGAAACTCGCACCTTTTACCACAAGAGAAGCGTTTTCCCCCCCTTCCCCTTTAAGTCGCATTCTCAGGGGGATGCTGGCAGAATAGCCCAAGTTCATTAGCCAAAAAAAGAAAAGGAAAAAGTTACCTGAAAAGCACGGGACGATTTGGTCTTCAAAACGGATGGGCAAACAGGATTTTTTTTGTATTGCATATTTAGTGCCTATTACGCATGTCTATCAAAAAAAAAAAAAAAAAAAAAAAGGAAACGAAATACAATTAACTGATTGAGTGAGTTGGTGGATATTATTCCAGTCGCTTTGCTGTAGTTGGGGGGTACATCACATGAATTTTAAAATCTAAACATAGCTCGTGGCAGGTCGAAATATTCCCTCTAGACTTGGAGAAGGTTTGCATTTAACATCTAATATGAGGCCGAGACCGTTTTAAGAGTGAGAGTGTGTTTTTTTTTAGCAGGTGAACCTGTGGAAATAAAACTTAATGATCGAGTTCAATTTAGTTTTGGTCATATTTATAACTTAACACTTAAAGAAAGTGCCCGAAAATCTTACTTGGATTCAACTTTTTCAATAATAAAATGAAATTTAATCTTTTTACTGTTTTATTTATAACATATACTCGATAAATGTTGTGTAAAAAAAATCTAAAAGTGTTTTTTATACATTTTACCCTACATCTGCAGACAGAGGAAGGGAAACTTGTTTAGTTGCAGAGACCTTGGAGTCCCATTGGTTGGGGTCCTGATAATAACTGCTGCATATCAAGTAGACTGGAAGAGATTAACACGTGACTGTCTGAAACAGAAAAGGCCTCCACTCTAATGAATAAATCCTATATCATAGTTTACACAAATACCTCGTTGCATTCATTTAGACGTTTAAACGTCCTGTTTTCAATGTGAGAGAAGTTTAATCTTTGGTAAATTTAATCTTACTTCTGAATTTGAGGTTTTGACTTTTGCAGACATTGCAGAAAAACTCGTAAAAAAGTGAATAAAAAAATCAGAAAGTGTGTTGTCAGGGTGACACAAAGGACAGACTTGTGCACACGCACTTTGGCTGCTAAAAAAGGGGGTCATCCAACTTCCTTGACACGCATCTTTGCGGTTAATACTCAGAGAGCCTCGTAATTTGTGCCTTTTTTCCCCTCTCTCTAAAATCCATCATATCGTGCTCATTTCCAGCCGCTCTTCCTGTACGGCCTGTCATTCACCAACCAACTTTTCTGTGTGATCCCTTTCATCGCGCGCACCATGGAAACCTCGCGCGTCCTGGCAAAAATGCACCTCAGCGCACACAAGGCCATATTCTTTTTGCAAGAAAAAAAAAAGGGGGCCAAAGCATCTGGATCTTTCTTTTTCCAGCAGCTCGTCGCTGGCTGGGGCAAAAGCACAAGACTGGCTCTGTGTAGCAGAAACCACTGCTTTTTATAGACTGTGGGAGCAGAAGGAGTGAATGGCGAACGCATCTTCATTAAGTGAGAGCTGCATGGAGCTGCGGTGACACACAGACACTGAGAGAGGTCTCTCAGGAGTTCAAGACAGGGACAATAAGACATGTCCGGGCTGCGATTTCGCATGGATGTCATGCGCAAGAGAAGCGTTGATTATCATTGTTTCATGTGATGTTTCAAATTTAACATGATTTATCCGGTGTTTATTAATACATAAAAGTATATTTAGTTAAATAAACAGAGATGTTTTATAATTCTAGATGGAGAAACAGGTGTATTAGGTCAGGAAAATTATTGTTTCGCGAGGATTCCTGATCAAAATGTTTTCAAAACGCACTCAAACGTGAGACATATTAGATACATATTTAATGCAAACATTACAGATGGACAAAAAATGCATGTACGGTAAAAATCACTGTTATTTATCGAGTCGCTTTACTTTAATTCTAACCAATTGTACTAAAATTACGCGCGTAAAACTCACGCGGCTTGTCTCCCACTCATCCCAAATAAATATATAAAGGATGGGTGGACAAAAACCACGCCTTTCAAGAGATGATGACGAGCACCTGTGACCCTGGCACAACATTTTACGCACACACACACCCACACACACACACTCGCACACACACTCGCACTCACTCGCAGCAACATTGTTAGAGCAAGGACGCGGTCACAGCAGAAAGGAGACAACTTACCTTTTAGTCATGTAGTCCCGGATTAAAATGAACACTACAGTTGAGTCGTCCTGTAAATGGAAAGAAAATAGTCGCGTGGGGGAAGATGACAACAAACAAACACGCAGCAGAGATAAAAGGCAAAACACTGCTTTCAGGTAAATGATGAAAATGGGACTGTTGCGCGTAAAAAAAACCTTCCAAAACGCTCCTGTTTTAGAAGGAGTGGAACATGCGCCTGATTGCAGAGTTTTAGGCGAATGGAACGGGAGAGATGTAAGATTTGTTTAAAGCCCCGCATTTCCATTTAAGAACGTGATTGTGTTTGCAAAGATCCCTTTCAATCTTCGCATCTCCCCCCCTCTCTCTACCCCTCAGCGTCTCTGAGGCTGCTTTGCAATTCATAGAATTGGTAATTTGCTATTGGGACAAAACGTGAAGGGAAAAATAATCAGATCAACCGGGAGAGGTAGTGAGGAAGGAGCCAGGAGGAAGAAACACAAGGTTTCTCTCTCCAAGTTGCTGCTTAGTAAAAAAAAATGCTTCGAGAGGTAAATGATATCAGAATAAAAGCATTTTTTTATATGCTTGAATTTCCAGGAGTGGGGAAAAATGCAGAGCAGCTGGAGCAGCAGCTTTGCAGAGAAGATGTAAAGCGGTTTAAATTTGATCTACAGCGTTTTATGATAAATTATAGATGAGAATGATCAGATAGACGGTTGTTCTAAACATTGATCCTGACTGCTTTATTGTGCTCAGGGTTTCAGAAAGAAAGAGGATGATGTTAATAAATAGTGTATAATATCTGTCACCTGTGAAGGAGAGAGAGAGAGAGAGAGAGAGAGAGAGAGAGAGAGAGAGAGAGAGAGAGAGAGTCTTGGCCTATCTTAACTAAGTGGGTGGTGATGATGAGATCATGCAACATTGAAAATTACCGAGACAATACAAATAAATGACACACGCGGAGGCTTTGAAATCGAGCAAATGCTTTCAAATTTGTCACACATTTACAGCAGAGTTCACACACACACGCACACACACACGTTTCAGAGGGGTTTATTTACACTCCTCTTGTTGTGTGGGTGTCTGCAGAGCTGCTGCATCTCGCCTTATAATCTATTTAAAATGAGGAGCGCTATAATCATCAGTGACCTATTATAAAGGTGCACGGGCGTGTGTGTTTGAAAGTGCATGTGTGCGCGTTTGGAAGAAGAAGAAGGAGAGGGGGGGAAACCCTTAAAACAGATCCCCGTACTCCCCCACGTGGTTATTTGCAAAACAACCGATCTTAAACTCGGGGAAAGCGAATGAAAGCTGCTGCTGCTGCTGCTGCTGCTGCTGCTGCAGGACGGTTCAGCTTCCTCAGAGAGAGGGCTGGAGAAAGAAAATCTAAGAGTGGATATCTGTGCGCGTTCATGAGGGTACTGTATAAACTCAAAGAGGCATTTAATAAATAGAACATATGTTTTTCTTTAACATATGTAAGACCGGAGCTCCATCCATCCTGTGCGAAAAATGCGCTGTACCATGCGCTGAAGCTCTGCGCCTATTGAATGTGTCCCCAGTGGGCTTGAATCGGAGAAGAGCCAATACAAGCGGAAGGGAGGCGTGTCCTCGCTCTTCCCCAAGACCTCCCAGAGCAGGTTGTTGCGTTTTGGCTCTAAAGCCTGGAGACCTCCGAGGTGCTCGTCAGTTTACGAAGTAGGAGCCATGGCGACAACAGCTCAGTATATTCCGAGGAATAACTCCTTACCGTCCAACCCGCTCATGCATCCGGATTCGGATAGGATGCACCAGGGGACGACTTACAGAGAGGTGCAGAAAATGATGCACCACGAGTACTTGCAAGGGCTCGCGGCGACCAACACGGGACACCCGATGAGCCTGACGCACCACCAGTGGCTGCCCACATCCAACACCGACTGGTCCAGCGGCACCCACATCGGGCAGCAGGAGCACAAAGCCAGCGTGCAGGCGAGCCGGGACGACCTGAGCTCCAGCTTCCACCACAGATCTCACCTTGTGCACCAGCAGACTCAGGGTGGCCACCATGGCTCGTGGGCGCCTACCACGACCCACCACTTATCACCGCTGTCCCCAGCATCTAACGGCCACCAGTCTCTGGTCTACTCCCAGCCCGGATACACAAACCTCAACGCGATGCTGAGTCCCCAGCCCGGCTCCCTGCACCACGGCATGCGGGACCCACTACACGACGACTCGGGCAGCCACGACAACCAGATGGAGTCGCCCCAGCAAGCGTTCAGCCACCACCAGGACCACTCGGACGAGGACGCGCCCAGCTCCGACGACCTGGAGCAGTTCGCCAAGCAGTTCAAGCAGCGGCGGATCAAACTGGGCTTTACGCAGGCGGACGTGGGCTTGGCCTTGGGCACCCTGTATGGAAACGTCTTTTCTCAGACCACAATCTGCAGGTTTGAGGCGCTGCAGCTCAGCTTCAAGAACATGTGCAAACTTAAGCCGCTCCTAAACAAGTGGCTGGAGGAGACAGACTCCAACACGGGCAGTCCCACCAATTTAGACAAGATCGCTGCGCAGGGCAGGAAACGAAAGAAGAGGACCTCCATCGAAGTGGGGGTGAAAGGGGCGCTGGAGAATCATTTCTTAAAATGCCCAAAGCCGTCTGCTCATGAAATCAGCACTTTAGCCGGCACTCTGCAGCTGGAAAAAGAGGTTGTCCGTGTTTGGTTTTGCAACAGAAGACAAAAAGAGAAAAGAATGACACCAGTGGGGGTCCCTCACCCGAATATGGAGGACGTATATTCCCAGGCAGAGACCCCTCCTCTACACCGCACACTACAGAGTCCTGTGCAGTGACTGTTTTCATGAACAATCCCAGCATTTCTGCAGGGGGGAAGAGAAAAAAAGGGAAAGGGACTGTGGAGTTTACAGTATTTAAGTTTGGCTTTTTGTTTTTTGTTTTTGATTTTCCTGAGAGAAAAAGAGACATGGGAAAAGTTGAGCAGATGAGTTCTACCCTTAGTATTCGGAGATTTCCAACAAATAGATGGCAAAGAGGGAAAATGTTTTTAAAAAAAAAATCATGAAAATAGAAAAAATATTCGCTATTATTGATTCCGTGCGCATTTAAAGTGAAACAAAGATCTTTATTTACCAAAATTATATGGAGGTGACTTACATAGGAAGTAAATTTGATATCCCATGGCTGTTTCTAATGGGGAGTAATTAAATGTGGCATCTCCTCCTGGTGCACCATGAACTGTTGGCGCTCACCAGAGCGAGGTGTCCGCCTGAAAACGATCAAACACTGGAGATGAAAAAAGCCTTTTTGTTGCTTTTAGGCTTAAAAACTGATTAACCAGATTTCTGAATATTAGTGTATGCTTTCTTTGTTATATTAAGTGTGTTGTTTTTGGTTTGGATCTACTTTAACTTCAGTGTCTCTCTTTATGATTTCTGTCCTGACTTTAACTCATCAGAGCAGCCTCCAATTTCCTCTCTGTTCTCTCAGCTGATGGTGGGAAAGTGATGGAAATTATGCCACCCGAAAACACACATAATTAAAAAGTAAGACCTATTTAAAGAAAATATCCAATGCAACTGGACACAGGAGTCCTGAATGCATGCCTTAAAAGATATTTAAAGCTTTGCAGCTGACCACGTCGAAATTTGCAAAAAGCACCAGACGCTAAAAAGGGCAAATCTTTTATTCTGGAGGGGGTTCATTGTGTTAAAAAATATTGTTTTCTCTGCATGGAGCACTTATTTTTTTCTTTTAATTTTAATTTTTTAAATTGCAATTAAGTATTTCTTTGTGAGTGGAGCTGATCTCCATAGACTTCAACACAATAAATCCCATGTTTACAGGTTCCAGTGCGCACTGGTGGTGCGTCAGGCTCACACTGCTTACTGCCTGTTAATCCTGTTCAGTCCAAACATTTCAACAGAGATTGGTCAAAAATGAAAAGTAATAATAACTCAGGTAACTTCAGTGCCCCGTGTCGGAATATCACGCCTGTACATGATTTTCTTTTTTCTCCTTCTGTGTTTTATTTTGGATGTTTCAAATCTGGTTACAGACACTCCGTTTCCTTTGTCCACACGTCCATTGTATTATACTCCAAAAACGCTGGACTCGGAGGTAGAAATAATAACTCCTTGAGGGTAAAAGCATTGAAGGGAATTCACTTCAGATATATTTATTTTTTTTCTGACCTTAAAGGAAATCTGAAGAATAAAAAAAAAACAGTCATGCGTTATGTGTCATTCCTCAGCTCAGTGCTGGAGCAGTCCACAAACCTACAGCAGTGCTACTCAACACACATGAGGAGGGACAACATTTTTTTTTTTTCAAGAAAAAATAATGATAATAATTAAAAAAAGATTTTAGAGAAAATGTTGCCAGGATTATTTCCGATATGTAAATATGTCCAATATGTAAACTTGTATTTGTTCTGAGATATTGTTTTGTTTTTGTTTCTTTCCGGGCAGTTTTGTACACTTACTAATTCCAAGAAGATATTTTAATATGATTTCATTTATGAATCTGACCATTTATATATATATATTTATTTCTTAAACGTGTTTGGAGCTTTTTGTTCAGCTCTGTTAATGCTTATGTTGCAGTGGATTTCAGTCTGTTTCTCTTTTCGTTTACTACATTGGTTGTATGTTGATTGCTAAATGTAGACTGCAAAGTCACATTTATATTTATGTTATAGTAATATTTTATTACTTACATAAAACATATATACAAGAAATGGTCTTTTGTCTTCATTAAGGTCCAAACCACTCGTCCTTTTGTTGCTTGTTGGTTGTAGCATCAGCAGACAAACAAAGATGCTCCGAAAGTTTGATGCTGTTCAGCACACCATGTGTTCAGTTTAATAGCTGTGATTGGTTATGTAACAGCACGAGCTGCTGTCGACATGTGCTGTTAAAGGGAATAGACAACAGTATTTTACCTCAGGCATTCCCTGCTAAGTTCACACAGTCTCTGACGTTGTTCACATCTTTGTGTAAAAATCGCAGTATTAAATTGTGCAATATTAATACGGAACTATTGTCTTTTTATTGAGTGCTGCTTTTCATAATTATCATTATTACTGCACAAGTATTACATGGAGTATTTTTCAGGTCATGTGTTAACTAAGGGGATCGTTAAGAAGGCCTTAAAACATTTCAATTCACTTGTCAAGTTTGAGGCGTTTAAAGGCAGATTGTGACAAATCTTTGATCTGAGACAGAAGTGCCTGCAGGCTGAAATCAGCCTCTTTTCCAAAGATAGAGGGAGAGAAAACGCACATATGGATGAATAAACGGCAGGCCATGATGTTAAGAAGGAGGCCTAAATTATCAAAAGAAAGAATCAAATGTAATTAAAAGCAAATATTAAATCTCTTTAAATCACGAACTGAACGTACAGTCGTAAAAACGAGGCCCTTGGTCGCGGGCCACAGCGGGTGTGAGCGCTGTTTGCTTTCCGAGCGAATCCAAAATTAGGCCAAAATCTTTTAAAAGTTCCCATTGAGAAACGTTTTATCCTCACATATGAATTTTTATTTATAAAAATCCCACTTGATTGAAAGAAGTTTAAGCAGCTTTTCATTTCGACAATCACGGAACTCATAAATTCATAATGAAGAGGTATTTAAGGGCCTTACTCTTCTCTACACAGACAAGACACACAGTCTGTTTAGGTCATGATGTTGTTTTTCAATCATGTTAATATAAGATAACTCGAAGGATTAATGCAGTGATATATTTGTGAACTTCTTGCGCCGTCATGAAACATGAAGGCGCAGAGGAAACTTTTACGCAGCGTCAGTTTTTGGAGAAAACTCCAGCAGCTTTTTCGAAGGAACAGACATTCCCTGCACTGTTACTAATTTCTGTGACATTTATACATCTCTGACACCGCTTCTCTATCAATTCAGCCTTTCGTTTGGTGTAATTCCATCATTTTTAAATGTGAAATTGTCGGCGACATTCGCACAGCCTCAGCCGCGTAAAAATGACACGAACCAAAAAGACAATAAGACCGGAGTGTGACGGGTTTGGGTGCTGCTGTGACGCAGAGAGAGAAAAAAGTGGTTTTGCACCGGCTGAGGTGGTCAAACTGAAAGAGAAGAGGCCAATATGAAGAAGCAAGCCCGTAGAGGACAGCGAGACACAGGCGCCTCCTGGTGGTTAAACGTGGGTACTGCATCACGAAAGCTAACACGTCCAAGTTTGATAGGAATCACACAACAGCAATAATTCACTAATAGGAATCACATGATTTTTGACACAATTTGACACATTTGACATGAGAAACTGCACCTGCATAAGCTCTGTCTCTGTCCCTATAATGGAGATCTACTGCTATAATGGATAGTAAGTTGTGTTTTCCCTGTCATTTAACATCAAGCTCATAAATTAAGCACATTTGGTGTCAGTTTAATGCACCCCTGGGGGTAAACTCTTGATTCTGTGAAAGTGTTCAACAGCTGTTCTCCGATAGACACCACCCCAGAGACATCAGGGTCCATTTGGAAACTTTCAGATGTGACTGAAGCATCAGATCTCCAAGTATCAGAGCAACCAACTTAAAACCAGTGAGGGCTTCTGAGTGACCATAGAGGAGCCCTCAGTTGGCCAGACAAGAAAAAGCTTGTGGCAACTGCTACCAACTGTTAGTTTTTGATGACATGCAATTTTTATTCTGTGCCAAACAGAGGGACACAACCTCCATTATGCCAATAAATCAATAAAACATGAGCAGAACTCATCACAAAACAGCAAAAGCGAGCTATTTGACCCACGAAGCACCAGGGTTCAGACCTTCCTCCTATCCTCCTCTTCCCCTCTCAGCAGTGTCTCTCTCCTGCACTGAGTGGGCCCTTGGCTGCACTCGTGGAGAAGCTCCATCCTCATGAAACACTGATGCCTCCTTCATCAGGGAAGTATCGTCACACACAGGAGATGTGGATTAGTGATGATTAGCAGGGATTATGGCTGGTTAATGGTGGGAAAATACATTAGGAACCATCAGCTCTGGAAAGGGGGAGGGGGGGGATTTCACTCACGCTAGCGGATTTGCATTGATCCACAGCAAATGAATGAGGATTAGCAGCATCAAGCTATCTGCCAACAGATAAATAACATTAAGCGTATTATACGCCAACGCCTGTTATTAATGACATTACAAACACCACTACAATGCTGGCAATTATGGAAATAATGGGAGCGGCTGAATAATTCACTTGGTTCAGATTGTTGGGATTCCAGATCATCTGCATGTACAGATATATGGGGCGATGTTGGAGAGCTGATAATAAGTCTTAGCAGGCTTAAAATACAATTTCTCCAAGAATATGTGCTTCCTTTTTTATTATAGGGCTTGTAATGTAAACGTATTTGAGGTTGATGTCACTGTCAACTACAATATAAAACCCCAAATCTAAAAGTTGGACTACTCTTTAAAATGTAAATAAAAGCAGAATTTGAGAGTTTGCAAATTATTCACAGCCTCTGTTTGATTACAAAGAGTGCAAAGACAACCTATGAGTGCTTAAACTGAACTACTGTATTGTTTTGTGTAAAAAATAAATGCTCATTTTACATTTTAGTTACAGAAAAGGGTTTTTAAAAAGACAGGTACAAGGGCGTGTCATACATGGTTTAGTTTATTTAGTTCACCTGCATTTGTGGATGGACGTGATGGACTAATTCCTCAAACAGTGAGTGGGAGAATGAATTGAAGATCAACGTTACCATAGAGGAGTGGCAGAAGATGTGTGAAGCACAGAGACACAACCACAAACTCAAGAATATGGCGGGGTTTGGTTGGAAAAAACTTGACTTGTTTCTTCATCACTCAAACAGGCTCCCAGTATACTCCGCTGTACATGTGGAGAAAGAGAAGCGAATCATTCACACATTTTCTGTGGATGTAAGAAACTTAATCCATTTTAGGAAAATATACACAACATAATTAAGGCCATCCTGGGTTATGAAATACCTAAAGAATGTAGTGTTATGTACTTTGGGAACTTGGATCATTATGTCCTGGTCAAAGACAGATATGTAATAAAAATATCACTGGTTACATGTAAAAAGCAATAAGAAAATGGTATAAAGCCGAGCCACCAGCTGTGAATGAGTGGTTAGTCCATAACATGGAGAGAATGACATATAAACTTAGAATGAAATAAAATGCCTTTTTGACTAAATGGGAGAAATGGATGCAATGGGACACAAATGGAAATACTTGAAATATGTTATTCATATTCTTTTCTCTTGGCTCTGTAAACAATGTATTTAATAATGGACACGTGTAGCCACAACTGTTGTACTTACTTTCTTTGTTGTTCTCTTCTCAGTTACATCTGTTTTTTTTCTCAGCTGCTCCATATACAGGATGTATTAGATGGATATATGTGTATACTTTATCATTTATATGTGGAGTTGAAAAATTTCAATCCTCAGACAGCGGATATTGGAGGTAATTTTGAACCTGTGCAGTGATTTCCACTACAGAGTCAGGTCTGTTTTTAATGCATGTGGGCCCACAGATCACCATCTAATATTTTGTTTTTTTTAGCCTCTGCCTTTATGTGCGGAGATTTCTCAGATTCTCTAAATCCGTTAATGATATTATATACTGTAGCTGATAAAGAAACTTAATCATATTCAGTTTCATGCTGAGGGATATTATTCTTGAATTGTTGAACTATTTGCTCATGCTACTCTTCCTATCTTCCTACCAACTTGTTGCCAATTAATATCATTAGTTGGGAGATGATCATCCTGGTGTTCTTACAACATTACACAACTCTGTCTAAACTGCTTCGAAACATGTTGTAAATGACCATAGATTGTATTTTTTAAATAAAGCAATGACATTTTTCAATTTTAACATTTGATATTCTGCTTTTGCACCTTTTCTGACCAAACAAAGGGTTTAAATGATTTGCAAACTGTTCAATTCTTCATTTTTAACATTTCGCACAGCACACCGAGCTTTTAGGAATTGGGGTTGTACATCTTCAGTGTAGTTACACATTATTCTGCAAGAAGAGCGAGGCGGAGAAAAAGAAGCTCATTCCTGGATGTAACCCACATTTTTAACCTGTCAGGTGAAAGAGCCTGTAGATTTCTTACTCTCTATTACTACCTCATCCTCCGGCCAAGTTCTCCTCTCCTCTTTTTTACCGTTTATGTAATAAATACTCCACTCCCACAGTGAGTGGCAGAGAAAGGGGGGATGGAGACTGGAAAAAAGAGAACAGAATAATGTATTTTTTTCATCAAAAATTCCTTCTCTTCCCCTACCTCAAGGTTTCCTCCTCTGAGCCACTTGAAAGATGGGCAACAATGTGGCCACACAGTGAACACCTAGTTACCATATGAAACACTCCAGCAGTGAACTGGAGGAGACGGAGACGGCAGAGGAGAAGTCTTGTGTTATTTATGATACTGGGCCTTGTAGCTATATGGGTTCTGCCTTCATGTCTTCTCCAAGGTATGGCCCCCATATGCGAAGGGGTTTAAGTGCAGTCTTAGAAACTTACTCTCTCCTCCCCTCTTCATCTCTTTGCTCCTCACTCCGAGGTTCTGAAGAAGAGAAGTAGCCCGTCTCCCTCTTTCATGGCTTTGAGCGACACTTTATATCGCCTCAGGTGTCTGTCAGTGTGACTAACAGTTCTGAGAGTGGAGAACTAATATCTCAGGAACTCGCCTCCAGGCAGCAGCACAGAGATGTTACTGTAGGTGGCATACAATGAGAAGAAAGTCATACTTTAGAGCAGCGGCAATTACTACTGATTCACGGAGCAGGTTGGTATTAAACAATGGCTGTGACAACCTTAGCAGGTGATAAGAACACAGCCGAAAAAGGTAAGATAAATGCAATCATCTGTAATGTTCAAGCTGCCTTCATTTTGGAAGTCTAACAAAAGCTTGCAAATAGCCCAAGGAAACCTATAAAGGATAATAGACTAAGCAAACAAAGCAGCTGCAATAATGACACGTCTGAAATCACACAGCACAGCTGCTGAGGAGGCCTTTTAAACTACT